TTCGTTAAATTAATGGCACACGGACATGGAAAATAACAATAAAACTTCTTGCTTCCCTGGCGAATTCATCAACTAAAAATCCTCTGAATGTGCTCAAGCGATGAATAAATTAAATCAAATGCCAGTGAAAATAAATTAAAATGTCGTGCTATCATGTTTGACAGCACACACAATGAAAACATTGGTGAAGCAAAACAAAACTGTGCCTTCGAGCTGCTGGTAGCAGTAAAATCTAGACGCGAAATTACCGGAATATACTCGTCTTTCGTATAATTTGACAGCTTACCTTGTATAATGTTCTTTCGGTTGCCTTCTAAAGGTAGCATGGACGGATTATGCTGGACGGTATACTGCTTTGCACGGTGTTGATGGCTGTAATTCTACATTCCAATTAAAATTTACACCATGTGCCGATTTTCCCCCGAAGGGTGGCTGCATATAATACAAGTTGCACTGTTTCCGTGGCGACATAGCCAATTATAGAATTTGTATGGTTTGGATGAAAAGTCAAACACTGCTTTCAAAACTAAACTATTGTTTCTGTACCAATTAATATTGGCAATTAAATCAGAGTCCGTTCACGCTGATTTAAAAGTATGTGCAATTTGCATAACATGCTTCAAAAAACAGGGAGCTGCAGTTGACATTCAATGAAACCCACTGGCGGTGCATGATGGGTAATGTTCTAGGGAAATGTGCAAACGCTGGCAAAGTGGAATCCCCTCTGATTTGTAAGATCGATTATACTTGCGAGAAATTATAATATATGGCTTCCCTAAAGTAATTTTAAAATTCTCTCTTCTTTAAAAAATTGTAAAATATTCTCCTTCAAAAATGTGTAAAATGTACCCCTTCTTTAAGAATTTGTAACCTCAAGAAATGTATTTATTTAATAATCGTTTACATTTACATGCTCCAAAATAATTAAATACAAAGCCATTAAATATCCACACACAAAAAACGCTAAAACAGAAGTATGGTGACAATTTTCACAACGTCAAATAGACTAATCATATTTTTGCCATGAAACACGATGTGTGTGGGCGCAATTTACTTACGTCGGGTGTTCCGATCTAACTGTTTCTGGTGCCCCTGATGCGTAAACAGCGAAAGAGTTTTGTAAACCCTACACCCCACCCCCACCCACGTGCGCCCCCACTGATTCTACTCGCTAAACCCCCTCTCTCAACTCATTTGTATATGTCTACTATATATGTATAGAGCTGGGTACTGCGTAGAGTTAGGGGTGGTGTGTACAAAAACACTCTTTCCGTGGAGAAACTCTGACATGAAAATCTTCTGCACACAGCTAAAAATAGCTGAGCTAAAAACCTTTATTACCAAACGCTTCAGCGTGGTATTAAGAGTTTGTTTTCAGGGGTGGGTGATACCAAGGTGGGAAATGGATGCACATATGGGGTTAATTCCTTGAATTGTAATATAGAGGGTTCAGGTTGAAATACAATATATAGTGTTTTCATGTTTCGTCTGACATTTCTGTGGTATTCTGCTACTGTAAATAATGCACGTTTTGTTCCGAAATTCAGTATGTTGTGTGCATTCCAGGGTTATTCGTTTTTTGCTGAAAACACCCCTATTTTTTAGTGGCAGAGTCGAATAGTTTCTCTCCCACTGGGAAATCTGCATTGTTGCTTGAATGAGAGCTAATTAAACACATTTTCCAGACCGGCGAAAGAGTATGCAACAGCCAATTTTAACAGCCTGTCACATGATTTTACTCTGAATGTCAACATGAAAAGTGGCTAGTCCATTTTACGCAGGAGTAATTGGGAGTAGAATATGTGAGGGATAGTATCAACAGAGATATGTATAGTGAAAAGTAACATCTATCCTTCTTTTTCATCGCTGAGCATTTCTGTTTTAGTATATTGGTTTGAAAATGTTGAACTTGCATGATTTGCAATGTGCTTTTTTTACTGGAACTTCCCTATTGATCGAATCCCGGGTTTGAACGAGAACGGCACACCACGTGATTCGTTTGAATAAATGCCGTGCTACTGCGGTACTCCACTGACGGGATGACTTACTAGTACTGCATGCTACAACTTCGCTTGTGATGTTGCTGTTAGTCATGGATTAAATGAATCTTGATTACCAGTCAAATGTGACGTTGGTAATCTTTATTTGGAACTGAGTAACCTCCTGGTACTTCGTACTATGATAAAAATCAGTCAACATACATCATGTTCTCTCAATCGTAGTATTCCATGTGATGTACACCTAATATGCCAAAAATGTTGCTGAACGATTTGAACTGGATAAAAATACTAGACGAAAATTTGTTTACAAAATAAAAATACTTCGGCTGCCAATGAAAACAAACCGTTAAAAAAAAGCAATATATTTTCGGCTGTTATCATGGTAGGACATGAACGTGAAGCTAACGTCTGTTTATAACTAAAACCGGGCACCTTATACGAGGTTCACAAAATAACATTCAGTCTTTAGAAATCACTTTATTTTATTGTTAGGACGTATTCAGCCGTTAAATGTATTATTTCCAACCGTTTTGCGATAGCATTTTCTAGATTGGAGGCAGTATTTACATTTTATTCAAAGTTCAAAGCTGCGTTGGGATTACGTTGACAGTGGTAACAATGTCGGCGCCGGTGATCTCTTACCAGTGCGCAACGTAGTCAGAAAGCATGATCATTTAAACACTGCTATTACAAGACTGGTAGGAGGTAATAAATTTGGGGCGAAAGTATTAAAAAAACAGATTTTGGCTGTTGCCATGGTAGCGGTAGGTCAGAATTGTTTTTCCAATTAGTGATGGTACGACCTGCCTGTCAAGTATGAACAAAATCAGCCAAGCCAAAAAAATCACAGAAGAGTTAAAAAGCCATTCCTGCTGAACAGTTACTCTAACTTCGGGGTCAACTTTCTCATTAATGAAAAAAGATATCAAAAATTCAAATAGTAACTTTTGCCCACACTCAAGCCGAGTACAATGAGCTATGTCTGAGGTGTTGTATCACAGGGAATTGGACAAACTTATGTATTTTAATAAATTATTGAATAATAAAATGTGATATAACTTTTCTTTTACCCCCTCCCCTTCCTGGTATCTATTTCAAGTAATC